ACATTATGGAAGCATGTGGGAGTAAGTAGAATCTACACTTTAAGCAGTTGAACTAAGGTTCAGGTTTGGAGAACTAAGGTTCTAATGGAAGACCGGTCTAGAGTTAGGACTCAGGTCCTTAATGTGGATAACTTACGGAATTCGGGCTGTTTTAACGAACCAAATATAACAATTCGGTATTCCAACTTACATATTCAGTATGTACTTTATTTAGAGTTGTAAATATTGTAAAGTGGGATCCGTGCTGTTGTTCGCTTGAGTGGTAAATCCAGAAGAAAGTGCCATTTGTCATAATGCACACCAGCAACCACAAAGATGGTTGAACAAAAGCACGGATAAAACATAGATTTACAATTGTTGCCATATTGACATATACAATAATGGTAAATTAATTCATGGTTGTATTTATCGAGTTACAAGGCAAATTCAAATATTTTCAATACAATATTTTGACTTTAGAAATTCATTTTGTTTTGTTTGTTTAAATTAATTTCAAATCTTAAATTATGATAAACTACTTTAAACAATATTTTTAAAAAATCCACGCCTTGTATGGACCCTTGGTGGGCTCTTAAAAATATTTTTAAAAAATCCACGCCTTGTATGGACCCTTGGTGGGCTCTTAAAAATATTTTTAAAAAATCCACGCCTTGTACGGACCCTTGGTGGGCTCTTAAAAATATTTTTAAAAAATCCACGCCTTGTATGGACCCTTGGTGGGCTCTTAAAAATATTTTTAAAAAATCCACGCCTTGATGGGCTCTTGGTGGGCTCTTAAAAATATTTTTTTAAAAAATCCACGCCTTGTATGGACCCTTGGTGGGCTCTTAAAAATATTTTTAAAAAATCCACGCCTTGATGGGCTCTTGGTGGGCTCTTAAAAATATTTTTTTAAAAAATCCACGCCTTGTATGGACCCTTGGTGGGCTCTTAAAAATATTTTTAAAAAATCCACGCCTTGATGGGCTCTTGGTGGGCTCTTAAAAATATTTTTTTAAAAAATCCACGCCTTGTATGGACCCTTGGTGGGCTCTTAAAAATATTTTTAAAAAATCCACGCCTTGTATGGACCCTTGGTGGGCTCTTACAAATATTTTTAAAATAAGCCGCCCCTTATATGGACCCTTGGTGGGCTCTTAAAAATATTTTTAAAATAAGCCACGCCTTGTATGGACCCTAGCTGGGCTCTTAAAAATATTTTTAAAAAATCCACGCATTGTATGGACCCTTGGTGGGCTCTTAAAAATATTTTTAAAAAATCCACGCCTTGTATGGACCCTAGCTGGGCTCTTAAAAATATTTTTAAAAAATCCACGCATTGTATGGACCCTTCTTGGTGGGCTCTTAAAAATATTTTTAAAAAATCCACGCATTGTATGGACCCTTCTTGGTGGGCTCTTAAAAATATTTTAAAAAAATCCACGCCTTGTATGGACCCTTGGTGGGCTCTTAAAAATATTTTTAAAATAAGCCACGCCTTATATGGACCCTTGGTGGACTCTTAAAAATATTTTTAAAAAATCCACGCCTTGTATGGACCCTTGGTGGGCTCTTAAAAATATTTTTAAAAAATCCACGCCTTGTATGGACCCTTGGTGGGCTCTTAAAAATATTTTTAAAAAATCCACGCCTTGTACGGACCCTTGGTGGGCTCTTAAAAATATTTTTAAAAAATCCACGCCTTGTATGGACCCTAGCTGGGCTCTTAAAAATATTTTTAAAAAATCCACGCCTTGTATGGACCCTTGGTGGGCTCTTAAAAATATTTTTAAAAAAATCCACGCCTTGTATGGACCCTTGGTGGGCTCTTAAAAATATTTTTAAAAAATCCACGCCTTGTATGGACCCTTGGTGGGCTCTTAAAAATATTTTTAAAAAATCCACGCCTTGTACGGACCCTTGGTGGGCTCTTAAAAATATTTTTAAAAAATCCACGCCTTGTATGGACCCTTGGTGGGCTCTTAAAAATATTTTGAAAAAATCCACGCCTTGTATGGACCCTTGGTGGGCTCTTAAAAATATTTTTTAAAAAATCCACGCCTTGTATGGACCCTTGGTGGGCTCTTAAAAATATTTTTAAAAAATCCACGCCTTGTATGGACCCTTGGTGGGTTTTAAAAAATATTTTTAAAAAAATCCATGCCTTGTATGGGCCCTTGGTGGGCTCATAAAAATATTTTTAAAAAATCCACGCCTCTTAAGGACCCTTTGGTGGGCTCTTAAAAATATTTTTAAAAAATCCATGCCTTGTATGGACCCTTGGTGGGCTCTTAAAAATATTTTTAAAAAATCACGCCTCTGGTGGGTCCTTAAAAATATTTTTTTTTTTTAAATCCCACCATTAAAAATATATATTTTTTTTAATTTTTATTAACGAAGCTCTTTATTTTGCGCAAATTTTGTAACAAATTAATTCGAACATAAATGCTAAGAAACCCAATCCCGAACCAATGGCCACAATTAACCAAATCCAATAGAAATCCTGCACCACCAATACCTTGGCTGCCCTCTCCGGATTTGGATCACGTATCGAAATCCATTTCAATCTCAACATATCCGAAAAGGTGCTAGAATGCCATGCCTGTATTAGCCCCGCTGCATGGACCTGATGTATCAGATAATTCAAAGGTTCCTGATAGGGTGAATTAAATTGCAAACGAAATCCCCAGGGTAGAAGACGAAATACGGTTAGGCCATCCGAAGTGCAGAATACCTTGTGGGTAAAATATTGTTGCTTCTGCCTATACATTTCCCAGAGGGTAGAGGAACTATAGTATCCATATTTGGTATTGAAACGATGCCGATTATCCTGAAAATAAGTGGAATTTTGAGTGATGACCAGGGAGGATGTTAGACCCTCAATGTGTGGCAGAATATATTGGGCCTCAATGGCATCGAGTAGAATTTTCAGGGGGGATTGTTTCAGCTGTTCCATATTTTCAATTTGTTGATGATAGGTTGGATGGGTGAAAAGGGTCTGCACTCTGGCCGAAAATTGGGTACTCACATTCAGACCGGCGAAGAATAATAAAAAGTAGACCAATTTCAAGCCCTGCAGTTGGGTCTTGCGGGCCACAAATGATTGTCCCAACACGCCGGGTAGAATGTGTTCATTCAGCAGGAAACTTGTGGGTCTCCAGTGGCGAAGGAAGGCATAATCGTATAGGGAGTGGACCAAGGATAACAACACCGTACAGATTGTTATTGAACAGAAAAAATTCCAACCCAATAGAATATTGAAAACCTCACGTATGGTGCGCGGTTGGGCACAGGGTACCATAAAAATACCCTGAGCCACATCGAGAGGATATGACATATTTAGCCATTTTTCTTCGGGTCCGGTATCAAGGACCATGGGTATATCCAGCTGTAGCTCTTCCAACCTATCATTGATAATGGTGTAGTGGGTGGGCTTACCCAGTACCACTTCTGGGTACATTTCCAGCTTGGCATTGAAATGTTCCGCAAACAACATAACCATGCGGGGTATGAAGCCATTAAGGCGTAACTCCTTTGTCTTGGGATCTCGAAAAAGTAATGCTCGCGGCGGGGTTTGATCGGTGTAGGTGAGTAGGGATTTTTGTTGCATATTCCGCCAATGTTGAGGATAGAGGATGCCAGAGTTCCAGGCTTGCCAATGATATTCGGGATAGGGTTTTAGCATGACGAACTGGTAGTTCTTCTCAAGGGCCACTTTCAAAAGCACATTTGTCATTTTGTAGATCTCACATAGCTCTCGAAGTTCCCGCATAAAAATTTCCAAATTTTCAATATTTTCCGCCAACATAAGAATTCGTGTCTGACGTATATAATTCAATATTGCAGAGGTTAGATTCAGGAATTTTGCATCCATGGATCTTTGCATGATGAGGACACACAAAATTTCGGCATTGAATTTTTTCTTATACACAAAATCTGGCATCTCCTTGGTCACGATTAATTTGGGTATCGGACTTTCGAAGAGGTCTTGAAATTTGGAGGTTTCTACATTCTGGTCATACACAATTAACAGGCTATCGAAGTTACGTTCCTTATGAATTTTTTGTAACAAATTGGAGTTGTTGTGCAGCTGGCTCTCGACATAGGCACTGAGTAGAGGATATCCGCACAAAATCAAAACTAATTTCCAAAAATTCGACATTGCGATAGAATGGCAAACGCGAAGTGTTTACCATGTTCCGACCGTCTTCATATTTATATACGAAGTGAAAATACCTGCAGTTCTCTACAGGTGCGGAATTTCCCTGGCCATTGTTTGGGGGAAAATGTCCTTAGGCCTTTGTTACTGAATACCAACAATGGCCATTGTTCTTAAAGATTGATGTCAGATTAGAGAGCTGTCAACTTGGCAGATAGGATTCAACGAAAGGATACAAACTAAGGCGTAGATTTTTTAAAATTAATTTTTGAAGGCCTTAACCAAAATAAATTTTTTGTGGGACCCTTGAAAAAATATTTTTAAAAATCGAAGCCTTGTATAGACCACTATTCCTCGTACAAAGGCCAGGAAAATTATGCACCTGTTGAGAAGTTAATTTGGAATTTCCGACATTTTTTCCAGCCATATATAAATAAGAGGAACGTCGGAACATGAAAAACACTTCTAGTTCGCTATTCTCACCAAATGTTAAATTTTTGGAAAATCATTTTAATTTTGTGCGGAACTGCACTCGCAAATTTATGTGGAACGTAAATTTGATACCCTGTTAATTGTATATGACCAGTATTTGGAGACCTCTGAATTTCAGGACCTCATCGAATTTCCGTTGCCAAAATTAATTGTGATCAAGGAGATGCCAGATTTTGTGTATAAGAAAAAAATCAATGCCGAAATTTTGTGTGTCCTCATGATGCCAGGATCCATGGATGCAGACATCCTGCATCGAACCTCTTCAATATTAAATTATATACGCCAGACACGAATTCTTATTATGGTGGAATATATTGAAAATTTGGAAATTTTTATGCGGGAACCTCGAGATCTATGTGAAAACCACAAAATGACAAATGTCCTTTTGAAACCCCTATCCCGAATATCATTGGCCAGCCTGGACCTCAGAGACCCTCTATCCCCAACATTGGCGAAATCTGCAAAATCCTTACTCACTTTCACCGATCACACCCCGCCACGAGCATTGCTTTTTCGAGATCCTAAGACAAAGGAATTACGCCTTAATGACTTCATACCCCGCATGGTTATGCTGTTCGCAGGACATTTCAAAGCCAAGCTGGAAATGTTCCCAGGTGTGGAAATGGGTAAGCCTACCCATTACACCATTATCAATGATAGGTTAGAAGAACTGCAACTGGATATGCCCATGGTTCTCGATACAGGACCTGAAGAGAAATGGAAGAATATGTCATATCCTCTCGATGTGGCTCAGGCTATTGTTTTTGTACCCTGTGTCCAACCGCACACCATACGTGAGGTCTTCAATATGTTATTGGGGTGGAATTTTTTCTGTTCCATTACGATTTGTACTGTCCTATTGCCCTTGGTCCACTCACTATACGATTATGCCTTCCTTCGCCACTGGAGACCTACTAGTTTCCTGCTGATTGAACACATTCTACCCGGGGTGTTGGGCCAAGCATTTGTGGCCCGCAAGACCCAGCTGCAGGGCTTGAAATTGATCTACTCTTTGTTATTCTTCGACGGTCTGAATGTGAGCAGCAAATTTTCGGCCAGGGTGCAGACCCTCTTCACCCATCCCACCTATCATCAGCAAATTGAAAATATGGTACAGCTGAAACAATCCCCTCTGAAAATTCTACTTGATGCCATTGAGGCCCAATATATTCTGCCGCACATTGAGGGCCTAACATCCTCCCTGGTCATTACCCGAAATTCCACATATTTTCAGTATAATCGACATCGTTTCAATACCCAATATGGCTATTATAGTTCCTCCACCCTCTGGGAAATGTATCGGCAGAAGCAACAATATTTTACCCACAAGGTATTCTGCACTTCGGATGGCCTAACCGTATTTCGCCTTCTGCCTTGGGGATTTCGTCTGCAATTTAATTCACCCTATCAGGAACCTTTGAATTATCTGATACATTAGGTCCATGCTGCGGGGCTGATACAAGCATGGCATTCTAGTACCTTTTCGGATATGTTGTGATTGAAATGGATTTCGATACGTGATCCAAATTCGGAGAGAGCAGCCAAGGTATTGGTGGTGCAGGATTTCTGTTGGATTTAGTTGATTGTGGCCATTGGTTCGGGATTGGGGTCCTTAGTATTTATGCTCGAATTAATTTGTCACACACATTTGAATAAATTATTTCCCGACACATTCTCTCGTTTGTAGGTAAACATCTGACCCTTAACATATGTTGTTTGCCTAAAAGTATGCACTGAAATTTTGATGCCACATCATCAATGCCTTTGTGCCAATGACACGAATGATGAGAGGAATCTGATTCAGTTATTACCCAAATCATCATCACTAACCGGTATTTTGAATTACCTGAGAGGGTGACAGAGTAAATTTAAATGTTAATACTGCACTGCGCATAATCTTCTCAGGGGATGTTGAAAGTCCACAGAATCTCACACTCGCAAGGAGATGTTTATCTTCTTTGGTACGGCTGAGGTCAGCCTGTAACTATTTTAATGGACATGACTGTAGATGGAATTGAAACACATTTGAACGGAAGAAAAAATAGTCGAACATCTGGTTTCGTGGCGTATACGTAATGTCGATACGTATACGCAACCTATACCAAAAAATGGAACGTATACATGTTGTCGTTACTTATACGCAGCATAGCCCCAAAGGAGAATTTTAAAATAATGACAAAAGGACAATGAAAACCACATATTTTATGAAGTGACCCATCCTCACCTACTGTAGCGTAAATTTTATTGGCCTTTTATTGGTTACATCGCCATTGAATAATCAAATAATTTTTTTATTGTTCCGTCATAAAGTTCTGACAACATTAATTCTAACCCCACAATCGTATGTGTTCCGCTATTAGTTAATAAATAACCAGCCATGTGGAAGCAACTAATTTTTCTACTGCTCACAAATTCTGTGATGGCTCAAAAAATCTATAAAATTCCATTGCCACGGGAGATACACTATAACTTGAGTGAAATTCGAAATCTGCGGGATCTAATGGATTATGGCATTATCGAACCCTCCGCATTGCCGATATCAAAACGACCAAATGATTACTATTGTATACCGAAGTATTTGAAACGAGACAACAATTTCAATTATCCAGGGTGCCTGAGACGCTACCTGCAGAAGATGATTATTGAGGATTGAAAGGTTTTGAAAAAATGCAATTTTTGTAATAAATAATTTTGTAAAATAAATAAAAAAATTATCGTACAAAATCCACTGCTTGGTCAAGGCCTTGAAAAATTGTTTTAAAAATATCCAAAATTAAAAAAAAAAAACTCCAAAAATTGATTTAAAAATATCCGAACTTAAAAAAAACCACTCCAAAAATTGATTTAAAAATATCCGAACTTGAAAAAATACGCTGTGCCAAATTTCGTGCAAATCGAAAGATATATAGGGACTTTGGTGCACCATTTACATAAAATCGGACGAAAATATATATGGGAGCTATATCGAAATCTGAACCGATTTCAGGAAACTTATCACACATCATTCTAGATCTAATTCATTACTCTGTGTTAAATTTCGTGCAAATCGAAAGATATATACGGACTTTGGTGCACCATTTACATAAAATCGGACGAAAATATATATGGGAGGTATATCGAAATCTGAACCGATTTTCACGAAACTCAGTACACATCATTCTGGACCTAATTCAGTACCCTATGCCAAATTTCTTCCAAATCGAAAGATATATAGGGACATTGGTGGCCCATTTACCTTAAATCGGACGAAAATATATAGGGGAGCTATATCTAAATCTGACCCAATTTTCTCGAACTCAATTCAGTACACTACGCTAAATTTCGTGCAAATCGAAGGATATATAGGGGCTTTGGAGCAACAGTTACATAAAATCGGACAAAATTATATATGGGAGCTATATCTAAATCTGAACCGATTTCTCGAAACTTGACACACATTATTCTAGCCTCAATTCAGTACACTGTGCAAAATTTCGTGCAAATCGAATGATATATAGGGACTTTGGGACACCATTTACCATAAATCGGACAAAACAATATATGGGAGCTATATCTAAATATGAACCGATTTTCTCCAATTTCAATAGGGTGCGTCCTTTGGCCAAATCAGTGAACTGTGCCAAATTTCATCCGAATCTAATCATAAATGCGACCTGTATTTTAAAAATCCACGCCTTATGTAGAACCTCCAAAAAATAAATTTAAAAATCCACGCCTTATGTAGAACCTCCAAAAAATAAATTTAAAAATCCACGCCTTATGTAGAACCTCCAAAAAATAAATTTAAAAATCCACGCCTTATGTAGAACCTCCAAAAAATAAATTTAAAAATCCACGCCTTATGTAGAACCTCCAAAAAATAAATTTAAAAATCCACGTCTTATGTGGGACCTCCAAAAAATAAATTTAAAAATCCACGCCTTATGTAGAAGCTCCAAAAATGAAATTTAAAAATCCACGCCTTGTCTAGAACCTCCAAAAATGAAATTTAAAAATCCACACCTTATGTAGAACCTCCAAAAAATAAATTTAAAAATCCACGCCTTATGTAGAACCTCCAAAAAATAAATTTAAAAATCCACGCCTTATGTAGAACCTCCAAAAAATAAATTTAAAAATCCACGCCTTATGTAGAACCTCCAAAAAATAAATTTAAAAATCCACGCCTTATGTAGAACCTCCAAAAAATAAATTTAAAAATCCACGCCTTATGTAGAACCTCCAAAAAATAAATTTAAAAATCCACGCCTTATGTAGAACCTCCAAAAAATAAATTTAAAAATCCACGCCTTATGTAGAACCTCCAAAAAATAAATTTAAAAATCCACGCCTTATGTAGAACCTCCAAAAAATAAATTTAAAAATCCACGCCTTATGTAGAACCTCCAAAAAATAAATTTAAAAATCCACGCCTTATGTAGAACCTCCAAAAAATAAATTTAAAAATCCACGCCTTATGTAGAACCTCCAAAAAATAAATTAAAAAAATCCACGCCTTTAAAAAATAAATTTAAAAATCCACGCCTTATGTAGAACCTCCAAAAAATAAATTTAAAAATCCACGCCTTATGTAGAACCTCCAAAAAATAAATTTAAAAATCCACGCCTTATGTAGAACCTCCAAAAAATAAATTTAAAAATCCACGCCTTATGTAGAACCTCCAAAAAATAAATTTAAAAATCCACGCCTTATGTAGAACCTCCAAAAAATAAATTTAAAAATCCACGCCTTATGTAGAACCTCCAAAAAATAAATTTAAAAATCCACGCCTTATGTAGAACCTCCAAAAAATAAATTTAAAAATCCACGCCTTATGTAGAACCTCCAAAAAATAAATTTAAAAATCCACGCCTTATGTAGAACCTCCAAAAAATAAATTTAAAAATCCACGCCTTATGTAGAACCTCCAAAAAATAAATTTAAAAATCCACGCCTTATGTAGAACCTCCAAAAAATAAATTTAAAAATCCACGCCTTATGTAGAACCTCCAAAAAATAAATTTAAAAATCCACGCCTTATGTAGAACCTCCAAAAAATAAATTAAAAAATCCACGCCTTATGTAGAACCTCCAAAAAATAAATTAAAAAATCCACGCCTTATGTAGAACCTCCAAAAAATAAATTTAAAAATCCACGCCATATGTAGAACCTCCAAAAAATAAATTTAAAAATCCACGCCTTATGTAGAACCTCCAAAAAATAAATTTAAAAATCCACGCCTTATGTAGAACCTCCAAAAAATAAATTTAAAAATCCACGCCTTATGTAGAACCTCCAAAAAATAAATTTAAAAATCCACGCCTTATGTAGAACCTCCAAAAAATAAATTTAAAAATCCACGCCTTATGTAGAACCTCCAAAAAATAAATTTAAAAATCCACGCCTTATGTAGAACCTCCAAAAAATAAATTTAAAAATCCACGCCCTATGTAGAACCTCCAAAAAATAAATTTAAAAATCCACGCCTCATGTAGAAACTCCAAAAATGAAATTTAAAAATCCACGCCTTGTCTAGAACCTCCAAATATGAAATTTAAAAATCCACGCCTTATGTAGAACCTCCAAAAAATAAATTAAAAAATCCACGCCTTATGTAGAACCTCCAAAAAATAAATTAAAAAATCCACGCCTTATGTAGAACCTCCAAAAAATAAATTTAAAAATCCACGCCATATGTAGAACCTCCAAAAAATAAATTTAAAAATCCACGCCTTATGTAGAACCTCCAAAAAATAAATTTAAAAATCCACGCCTTGTCTAGAACCTCCAAAAATGAAATTTAAAAAATCCACGCCTTGTCTAGAACCTCCAAAAATTAATTTTGAAAATCCACGCCTTGTCCAGAACCTCCAAAAATTAAATTTAAAAAATCCAAGCCTTGTCTAGAACCTCCCAAAATTAATTTAAAAAAATCCAGGCCCCTTTACCCTTTCATAAGTTCTTTATTTCACATCAATACGACTATGATTACCAAAGTTATAGCCATTTAAAGAATCAACCGAACAATATAGCACTGCAATTCAATAATGTCCATGCATGCACAATCAATGAGAAATCCACGCACATATACTTTTGTACTACAATGTGTAAGCATAAAACAACAACAACAATAACAGTATTTGCTACGAACATCTATGCTCCCTCCTATTGCCACCCACTGCTGTAGAGCATAACAATATCACAGAGGTAATGAGAGCACTGAGAGTAGCACTTGGGTACTCTCCCATACTCAGTTACATTCTCTCCTAACGAGAACAGTTAACCGTAACATTAATAGACACTACCAACAACAACAACAATAAACGATGTTTGGCGAGTTGTTTTCTCTCGGGTGTCACCAAAAATATTCTTCTTACCTTTTTCTGCATGTCCACTTCGTTTAAAACCATATCGGGCAAACTACCGCACGCTTGCACTCTCGCGAGAGTAAATATCA